CCTCACCTTAAAAATTTAATCTGTGAGTTTACTCAAACTACAGAGCGGAGTTATCTTTAATGATTGTCGTTAGATTTTGAAACCTTATTTTACAATATCAGCGATTGCAAGACGACTTTTTTAATGTCTTCCCCTGCTTAAGCGAATTACTTTCCCCTTTACTTCTTTTCTTTCACTTGAGTCTTGACTCGTGTTCGTCTTCTAGCGTACCTTTCCAACAACTTCACCACAGAGAAACATTATGTTCTTTTCATTGAAAAGTTCAACTCTTCCCTTATAGGTTCGATTCTATAATAGATTGAAGAATAGAATGAAAGCAGAATCTCTTAATTAACGTAGAATGTCAACGCATGCATTTATCAACGACTCTCTCTTGTTCCTCAAAAAGAGCAGATCCAACTAGGACACGCAGTGACAAAAATCACCGTAATCGTAATTATAATGATCATCACCATCATTATTATTTCGTCAAAGCGCGCGGTCAATGTGATGAAGAGAGAATGGCAGAGAATGGCTACTGAAATGAGCCTACAAAAATTTCTAAAAAAAGATTACAAAATGCTCGACTGGAAATCATTGAAATGATGAGTGTAAGTTTCCAAAGAAATCATAGCGCTTTGTCGGTGGGGGGGAGAGGTTAACAGGATTATTTGGTTTTAACAAAAGATTTGATGATGTAAACTGGCCACAGTAAAGAGTTTTCATAGCCGATGTTTCAAGCGTTAGTCGTTACTCAGAGAGATAGGCTGACGCTTGAAATATCAGCTTTAGAAACTCTTCACGGAGGCTCATTCGCAGGTTTGACTCACTTTATAAAACCAATGTATCGGTATATTCTTAGGCCTGGATGGTGGCTAATGAATTTTAAAACCTTAAAAGAGCTGATTTTGGAGCCAATAGGATGAGTGCTTACGAGAGAGTTCGGCTTCAATTTCGTTGAAAAATGTACAAGTGCTTGTAAGGTGCATAAACATCATAACAGAAAGGACGAAAACTACAACGTTATGAGTAACAAACCAGAAGAAATTTAGCGAGGGAGAAAAGACTGAAATGCAGTCGCAGCTGTCAGAAAGGAATCACAAGCACTGAGACCGGTGGGCTGACAGGGCTGCGTCTATTGGTTGATTACCTTAAAAAATGGAGGAATGGGCGGCAACTTTGCAGATCCAACCCACAACTTTGGTTTCTAGAAGACAAAAATAAAAATAAAATACAATAACAAAAATCAGTTAAGGTCAGTCATAATGGGAGAGACCGCCAGGAGCAATATATAAGATCGATACAGTTATCAGTAATAATAGATTGCCTGAATATTTTATTGCCATTTTTTGTATTTTTTTCTCTGTTTTTGCATTCGAAGCTGCCTGTTCGAGATGGTCAAGAGAGCAATTTGGAGAGATTGTAAACATTTTTAATTTCTCAAACACGTCTTGATGTGTCTCAGCTCGCGCCTTCGTCGGTTGAAAAACTATTTGAAAAAAGAAACTATTTGAATTAATACTAATCTCGACAGATGTGCATGACTATGATGACAGGAATATAGGAGAAAACGATCCTCTATAAACAGCTATTAAAGCAAAAGTGTGAGGTTGACATCATTTACTATTTAACTGAAATGATTAATGGGTTTTTCCCAGTTGATGGAAAGAGCCTCCTTGGTTTTAGGCTGGAATTTTTAAAGGGCAGAACCTATAGTTTCGATTTGTTGACCGGAGTACTCGGTAAGCTTTGGAAATATTTGAAAAGGTAAGAAGACCCATGTGTGCAAAAGTTTCTCCTAGTCCCTTTCCCGTTTTTTTTTTCTCTTCCCGTTTTACTTCTTTTTTTGTTGTTATTGTTTTTGTTGTTGTTTTTGTTGTTGTTTTTGTTGTTGTTTTGTTTTGTTTTTTTTGTTTTTTGTTTGTTTTCACTCTCTTTTGGAGACTTACCACCAGCAGGTAAGCTGCACAGATCTGGGGAAGAAATGCATACACGGTTGTATATGTTCCTGAGAACAACCTCACCGTCTACTGAGACCAATTCGTATTGCAAGATCGCCTCCAAAACATTCTCCACTATTAGAAGCAAGTATCAGTTAGAAAGCGGCTAGAAGAACCTTGTGTAATAAAGGAAGTAATACAATATGAGCTACATCTGTTGTGCATCGAGGGGTGTTTTCCCGAGGTCTTAACCCCTTGCTG